CCGCCGGCGGCAGCCTACCTGTGCTTGTAGCGGCCGCTCGGCCTGCGGGCTTCGTAACTTCTCGCTCTTCTAGCCTCTCTTGAGAGCGGTGTCCGTACGGCACGCTGCCTCTGCTGTTTCCAAGTCTCCCCTTCTTTTTCCGTCGGTGAGGCTTCTGCCTCTCTCTGCTGCTGTCCCCCGCGGGGTGGCCTCCTCAGCCCCTTAAACGGTGGCTGAAGAGACTGTTTCACCTCCAAAATTATCCTTTCTTTGCTGGCTCATATGCTTGTCCTGTTACTTACTGGGAACTCACGGGACGCTGGTTACAGAAGACTCTCTTTGAATTGGAACAATTGAAAAACGTTTGGCCTGTTAAGCCCTTATCAGTCAATGTCACAAAATCTTCCATTTGCAGTGTTGTCCCTGTGTTCACAGGTAAGGCAAACTGCCCTTACTATGCCAGAGCTGAACTCCTGGCTGATTATCTCCAGGCTAACCTGCCAGACTTCAGGGTTCACAAGATCACTCAGCACCCTGACAAATGGGAGGTAAGGGATTGTAAGTCAAGCCGTTGGTAGATGCCCCAGTGCTCTACAAAGCAAGGAATGTGCTTATCTGTAGTGTGTCTCTTCTTGTCCTGTATTAGAGTTTTGATGTGTGGATAGAGGTGCTACAGAAGCAGCTTTGGCTTTGAGAGCCAGCCAGAGGAAAGGTTTGAATGTTGTGAGAGACTGGCCTTCTCGTGAGTCTCACCACAGAAGACGGGCACAAAATGAGGGCCAGCCTAAAGCTGTGTTTTGTCAGCAAGAAGTTCAAGTTTACTGGTTTTTTATTATGTATAAATTGCTGCTCAGCCTGTAAATCTTTTGCAAACTGTGATTGCATATGCCTTCAGAGTTGTTACCTGTCAAGAACATTTCTGGCATTCAGGGGCTTTGAATCACAATGGAAGTATGAAATCAAGTGGATGGGCTTATCCAAGTACTTTTACTGTAGACATGTTGCCATGTCTACACTGTAGTTCCTATAAAGAACTGAAAAAATTGCAGTATTACTTCATGAGATAGACAGTACCATGATGTTTATTACCTCTTACTTTTGCTTGACACCTCAACCAAGTAACTAGAACAGTTAAGTGAATCGCAATTAACCGCTGCAGCTTACTTACCTTCTGCAACTAAACAGGGATCCTCAGATTACTCGTTGCTTCACAACATTGCTGTCTTTAGTACTGCTAAGATAATTGAGCAAAATTACAGCAGTAAAATCAAGCAGAAGTAAAACCTGTTGCTCTTTTGCTGAGGTATCATAGTGTATCACCATGCCTTGCTTTGTGTTATTCCCCCATTTTGCACGCACTGGTACGTAAGTTGTGAAGCACCTTGTAATTATGTATTGAGAGGAAATAATATGAATGTTTATAGCTGTAACATTTAAGTGTTATCAAATATGAAAAAGTATTAAAACTTTTTGGCGTGGATGTTTACATTAGCAGTGGCTTCATGACATTTGTGAAATGAATGGATGGGAACACAGAGGGTCTCCTATCATTTGGAGAGAACTGTTGGACCGTGGAGGGAAGGGTCTGCTTCTGGGAGGAGTTAATGATTTTCTGGAATATGCTCAGGTAATGGTCTGCCTTTAATACTGTACACCTATATTTTACATTTTCTTATAACATTGTTGTTCTTTATTCCTCCTACAAATGTAAAATAAAGCTATCCTTTCTAATGTTACCTTGCTATGTTTGGGTTGTCATTTGATTAGAGATCACCCTTTTTGTTCTTAGCACTATTATGGCATCACCTCAATGATGTCGAGTGAGGAAATGTTAGACATTGCTGAGGAGAACCTGCAGGAGCATATTGAAATTGAAAAAGAAGAGGAAGAGATTAAAAGTCTTATCAAGCCTTTGCAGATCTGGATCACCACGTAAGAGTAAAAAGAATATCTATGAAGTTTCACTCAGCTTCAGAAGAATGCATTTTTTCCTGTCACATATAACAGGTGTAACCATCTGAAGTTATACATGAATCCCTGTAATTTGCTGATTTGAATTAGGTTCTGCACCCCTCACTATGAGCATTCAGTATATAATTTAGAAATTATTTCTACTTTTGTTACATTTTGCACCAGTTTAAGTGAGGGATGTGAACAGGCAACATTTAGACCCACCTTAGGGAAAAGCAAGTATTTACAAAATAAGCTAGGAATTTTGTAGTGCAACTATCTTGCATTAAATGTTTTTGGAAATATTTAAATAAGTAAAGAGTGTCTTGCACTTCTAGCTTTAGAAATTTCTGTATTTCTGGTAGTCCTAACAGAGCACCTTAAAAAAATTGTGGTTCTTTAAAGACACCAATTTTTAAGTGACAGTATCTCCTGAAATGTAGAGGATGGAAAAACCTTCAAATGAAAGGGGACCCCAAGTGTTTTGATTTTTAACCTGTTAAAATGACAGAAAGAGCAATAAAGGATCCAAGCTAATGGTCTATTTAAACATAATCAAATACAAAAGAAAAATCTTCATGTTTATTTATGTAATACTTCCAAACAAGCAGTGGTTCATGTTTAACTATAATTTTTCTATATCATTCTCTTATCAGTGCATCAGCTTCAATCTGTTATCAGCTGATCCCTCTGCTGGCCAATGGAGAAGTGTTTGGGATGACGACAGAAATCAGTATCCATTTGCTTGACACTGACCAGTTTAAGGACATTCTTTGCGGTATTGTAATGGAAGCTGAAGACATGGCGTTCCCACTCCTCCACAGTATTTCAGCGCACACTGAAATAGATGAGGCTTTTATTCAAGCTGATATTATCATTGTTCTTGATGATGTCGTCTTAAACCATGAAGTCCAATCCCTTGAGAACTACATCAGAGAAGTGAGTGAGATCTGTCAAGTGTATGCTCCCCTGATTGAGAAGAATGCCAAGAGTGGGGTCAGAGTAATTTCATCAGGAAAAACCTTTGTAAACCTTAAGGCGATGATGATTATGACATATGGCAAGTCCATTAAGCCTGAAAATGTCATTGCCGTTGCAACATCCTGGGAAAGTGCAGCTAAAGCCATGCTGGCCAGGAAGCTGAGTATGAATGCAACAGGTGAATATTTATGTGTTCTGGTAGCATTTGGGGAATTCAGTGGATGGACACCTTCGAGAGTACATATTTCATTGCAGAACACTGTTGGTGTGCATGCAGAAGTGCAAGCATAGCAGTGCACCCACTGAATTGCATGGCTGTACAGAATGCCAGGGTGTGACTAGCAGGTGCTACTGTTCCCTGTGCTTACCGCTATCTGGATCTGTGCCTGATCTCATGAATGTCAATTCTTTTGCTAACTCTTGGATGCAGCCCTGCCATTCTGGTGTGTATTTCATGCTGGAAATGTGCTAAGAAGGATTGAGTTGTGTTGCAGATCAGGACCTAGGACTTCAAGATTGCATTTGCACTCTGCAGTGCATTGTTATTTTGGAGACACACAAACTAGCTGTGAACAAACATGACAGCATACTGCTGTGCAGATAACGGGAGTATAGTAGAACTGTGTGATAGTATTATTTCTGGGTTCATTAGCTTTCTTTCTCAGGTCAATTGTTATAGCTTGGTTATATTTGCATGGTTCTGCACTGCACAGCAAAGGTGTGCTCCAACAGCCTGCTCAGCATCAGGATTCTTTCAATGTTGCAGGGGTAGGAACTGGTCATTAATGACAAATCTAGATATTTTGGAGCCTAATAAAATAGAAAAGTAAGTTAATAGGCTGAATAACATACCAGCAGGTTATCTGAGAAATTCCTTTTGCACTGAAGCAGTTTTTAAAAATTAAAAAAGTTTTTTTTAATTATTTTTTGCTGTTAGGCATTCTGTATTTGCGTGTACAGGATTTTAAAAGGAACATTGCTGTATGTTTGCAATATGATTTGTTTTGGTTTTTAACAGCTAAGTGTTTACTAGGTTTTGTCTATTATGTACAATAACATAAAATAAAGTTCCTTTTTTAGCTTGTGATGAGGTTTCATAAGTTATGAAGAACCTTGTTGCATTTTTTCAGATCAAATCATTTCTGCTATCAAGGCAGGACACTGAATTGAAGAATAATTCGTCTTGAAAAGGACTTCTGAAGGTCATCTAGTCCAGCCTATGTTGTGAAAGTGTTTGTCTGTCTCTTCATTAATCTACATATTTTCCTCTGTTACAGGAGTTAAAGACGTGATTGTTTGGGGCAATATTACTGGCTGTAACTACATTGATTTGTCACATGCAAAACTTTATGGATATGACTGTGCTATCTGGGGCCCAGCTAATTTTCCACGTCCTTTGTTGAATATGATTTATGATAGGTACAGTACAGATCTGTTTTTTTAAAGTAAAACCAAATAACGGCTTTTAACCTATGTTTATCTGAACTGTGTAATAAACATCAAGAAAGGTTTTTGTTTTCAAGATTTGTCTTTACTGACTAGCACTGTACATAAAGGAAAACTCAAGTTGAAGTACTCAGTCTGCAAAAGAAGTTGAGTAGTTCCTAGTGCAATACATAGTTCTGACTCTCCTGCCAACTTTGTTTATAACTATATTTTCCTACATATTAAGTGTGTTTCTTTTCTATCATATCATGAGCAGCCTCTAAGAAGTAATGAAAGTCCAGGTAGTGACTTAGATGTCTAGTATGCATGAAGAAACTTTGAAATAATACTAAACATATATCCGCATCTTGAAGTACCTGAATTCCATTGAACGTACGGCCTGATCACACTAATGTTGTCCGTTTCCCAAAACAGACAATTTATTTGTTAACATATGTAAAAAGGTTACCTGGCAGCTAGATGGCTTCTTGTAGAAAGAGAAGTAGCAGAGAAAGGATGGGTGGAGTGAGAGGGCAGCAGATGTGACATGCACTCAGGCCTGGCTATATGGAACTCCCACTCTGATCTAAACCTAGCATTTACTGGACAGCAGACATTTCTTTTGTTCTATACTTGTACTGTGCCTAGCCCAGGGGGATTATGGTTCATGGCTGGGTTCTTACGTAAGACAGTAATACATATAAATAATAATAATAGAGGTTATGACTTGAGTAAATGACCTAACTTTCATAGATAAGTAGTGCTTGTTGTTACCTTTTGAGCCACTTTTTGTTAGACCCTATTTTTTCTGTCTTTAAGTGCCTTGCCTTCAGTAGTGAAGTTTGAATAAGTTTTGACTATTTTCTTCCCTCAGGTTTAGTTCTTTTTTCCTCTAGAAAACTACTCTTCCTCCAGTCATCTTAGTTTTTTCTTCTTCCCCCCCCCCCCTTTTTTGTTGGTAGCGAATGGATCCATTCAGAATTTCTATCTGCACAGAGTTCACTGAGTTCCCGGGTCTGTCATTGTGTGGGAATGTTACCTGCTCACGCAGTAGCCACTGTACTGAGATACTGGTATCACGGCTCTCCTCCTGGAGAGATCGTTTCTGTGGGAATACTTACTAAAGGTAAATCTACTTTTGCTTCACATATTCTCTTGTAGCTTTCCCCAGTAAGTATAATGTTATTTTTTTAATCAGGATTTTTAATTTAATAAAAACTTGTAAAACAAATCATGATATAATGGGAGGCTGAGAATTTGTTTCAGCATAAGATCCTCCAGATCTAAGCAATTTTGCTCTCCAGAGCTTGTGATTTGATACTCACTTCTTACAAGCATCTTTTAGGTTAATATTGTCTTGTTGCAGATTGTCTCTTAGTCTTTTAGTTTAAATGCTTTGCTGGTGTATGTGTTTTATGCAAGGACTCTTTATAGTTCTTAGAGCCTAAGCTATAAAAGCATGTTCTTCTTGTGTAGTTATGTGAACCAATAAATGGAATGTTTCACGACAGCCATTTAACCCTTGTATCAAATAAAAAAATTATTTTTTCCCCTTTTTAGGATGTAAAATTGTTACATGTACATTTAGCTAAAATACTAAGTTACAGTAAAAGGGGAACTCTTTAGTCTTTGAACTGTACACTGAAAAAGGCAGTCTCCGTTTATACTAAGATCTTACAGTTGCAGACTTTTGCAAGTCTGTAGGACTTAATCTTGACACTGGTGAGGATGTGGGTTTTTAATCAGAAATAATATGTTTGGGTTGTTTTTTCCCTCTTCTTTAGGTCAATTTTGCGTTCCTGAAGGGATTGTCTTCTCTATGCCAGTGAGGTTCCAGAATGGTAACTGGGAAGTCATGACAGAATTAGAAATTAATGAAGCGACCCAAGAAGTTCTGGGACGCTTAGCCCATGAGCTGATTCAGGTGATGATTTCTTGTATCTATAGTATGCCCATTCTACCACCTATGGGTACGTTGCCATATAACTTTGGATACTGAGACCTTTACTCCAAATGTTAGACGTACAAACTGCATACATGCACTTACGCATGATAAATAGCAGGTATTTATAAGTGCGAGGTAGTATCTATACATTGAAATGAACAGACTACTGTTCTGTTGCCCAAAAAGGAGATGATAAAATAAGTTTACCTATGTAAGTGTAGAATTTGCACCCCCAAGTTCTGCAGGCTTTGTGCAAAACAGAAATAATATCTTTAATTTAATGTTTCTACATTCTATGCTGCTGATGTTGATTTTGCTTGTGTGTTATTCAGAGTAGTTCTATGCCAGGAGATATATCTTTTGGGATCCTTACGGCTGTGACTCTGCATGAATGAAGGCCAGATTTTACTAGAATTAGGGATTTTTCAGAAAATACAAAATCAGCAGTAATTGCATCATGAACTTCTTGTGACTTAGTGAGACAAAAAGAATTTAATTTGACTAAATATTAAAATACTAAAAAGACTGGTCCCAAACTCTACATTCTAGCTTCAATCAAATTTTGTGATCTTCAGTCATACTAGTAACACATAAGGATTATTTTAATTTAACATATTTTAAGTTTATGCTAGAAATTACAGTGGATGAAAAGAATGGGTGATATTAAAACTGCTTTTTTTTTCCATTCAGGAAAAGCTCATTGCACTAAAGGAAATAAAAGAAATGCATCCATATGGAGCTGATAAAATCACTAGTAAAAAATATTTGTGTCAAGGTGGGTTTTTCTCCCCATAAAAGATGAGATCAAGTTTTAAGTGAGAATTCAAGTAATGGATTCTTACTTTATGTCCCTTTCATTTCAAATGGATATAAAATCCTTCAGGAAGGAACATAAATAACAAGTGCTTGTCCAATGTATCCTGACCACGCCTGGGGCATGATGATAGGAAGGGCAAGCCTGCATGGTAGCAACCTTGTTTTGATAAGTTTCAGTTGTGTCCTTCACAGATCATGAATATAAAAGCTGAGCATAAACAATATGTTTAGCATGACACATTTTATCTTAGGTCATTAGTAAATATAAAATCTTTTTAACCCAAGTAACTATTATTAGAAAAGCACTTTCACCATATGTCCTACTATGTTTTTGAAGCTATTCTTTGCTATACTTTACTATTCTTTACTATCTGGAAATAATGAATTTAATTTCTAACAGAGAAAAAAATACTGTAAATTGGAACTAAAAGTTCTCATTTTTTCTGTTTGTTACAGTACCAAACAGTTAATTCAACATCTTTAGTCTATAAGCCAGTCAGAAGAAGAAAAGGTTGAGACACCCAAAGACAGTAGGCTAAAAAAAGAGATATTCCTACTTACTATAGAGAAGGCAATCTCGATAACTGGCAGCCACATCTGCCACTTCTTCCAATTGCAATAGATGAAAGATCTTTTGGAGATCCCCACATTATAAATTGTTAAGCAATTTTGCTTTGTTTGTTAAAGACACACCAAGTTTATCATGACTTAATTTTTTAAAATGCACAACAATATGAGAAATTTCAACTAAAAATCTATAGAACAACTCCAATATCCCTTCCTAATATTTAGGAGCATGTGGGAAGGCTATAGGCTACACGGTACTACCATGGCAAAACTCCCCTGAATCCACAATCTACTTTTCCCGTGCAGAATAAAAACCCCACATCTTCTCCCAAGTCTGTCTGTGCTGTTTTTCCTACCTATTTTGCTTTTCAAGTTCTCTATCCTCTTAAGATTATATAAAGGAAAGAAGAATCATTCATAAAAATAAGAACAGATGAACTTTAAAGTGTGTTTTATTGTTGTTTTCTCACTTTTTCCCTTTTCTCAGGTTCCCAAATCCCTGCACTTTCCCAATATTCTAGCCATTTCTTTCTACTTTTAGGTCCTACGGGCCTTTTCCCTAGTTAGTTTTCTTTCTCCCTTCCTTCAGATTCTTTCCAGTACTTTTACATCAGCACTTAACCATATGATGAGCTGTTCTTCTGCATTAAGGGCAGGCTGAAGAATGGGGAAACTATTTGAAGCTTGATGCCCAGGGCCTTTAGTGAGTGCATAAGCCTTTTGGTTACCCATGCTTGTTTCTCAGGAAAAGACTACAGACACGATAAGATTTTCTTGATAAATGCAGAGTTTAATTATTCCACTAATCATGACCTTGATTAACCCAGACAGGAGATTCCCAGTCAGACAGGAATGTCCTTCCCTGTCTGCTCTCTACTTGTATGGCACTGCTTTTCTGTAGAGCTGTCCCATTCTTCTTGTGGCTGCTTTAAACACTAAGCAGAGGGCCTTTCCACTGCTAGCAGCTAACTGCTCAGTTATGGCCTGCTCTTGTGACACTAATATCAAGTGCTGTACTATTCAAGGATTGCCTAAGTGCCCTGCTTATCTCCTTGCGTGTGTAAGTATTTTAGGAGGTTGGCAAAAATATGTACTGTTTTTGCTTTTTTTACAGAGATGGAAACCTTGCCTACTGGCTCACTTTAGCCAGAGTTGTCTGGAGGAGAAAATTCCCATATTAAACCAACATTTCCATTGCTCAAAAGAGCAAACTACAAAGAAAGGCTAAACATCGTCATAGCTTTTACAGTATCTTCCTCATCAAAAACCTGGAAATCTGTAGGCAGAAAAATATTTCAAAAACAGTGTGAATATAATATTCTTAATCTGAAGACCAAAGCAAAATTCCCACTGACTTTAATGAGTCTAGGATTTCATTTACATCCAACAACTTATTTCTTCAAACCAATAAACTGTTTCAAGAACATCTTTTAATGTTTAAAACGTTCATATTAAGACAATTTTGAGCAAGAATGTCACACACAGAGTAGCAGTTTTAGAACTCCAAGTTCTTGTTTCAGATGTAATGAAACACAGTACTTGTGTAAGAATGTATATTCTCAGGCAAAATTGATTTTTAACACAAAAATTTAACTGCATGCATCTCCTTACTGACAAGATCATTTTTGTCTCAATGTTTTTTATTTATTTCATGAGTTTCATGGAAACTACTCATATGTTTTAAGTCAAACATGCAATTAAGTCCTTGTCTAAACAGGGTTGTTGAGGAACCACTTTCACTTGCATGTCTTTGGTGTCTTAAAAGATGGAGACTGTGTGTCCTGGTTTCGGCTGGGATAGAGTTAATTTTCTTCCTAGTAGCTGGTATAGTGCTGTGGTTTGGATTTAGTATGAGAATAAAGTTGATAACACACTGACACTTTAGCTGTTGCTAAGTAGTGCTTACACTAGTCAAGGACTTTTCAGCTTCTCACGCCCTGCCAGCAAGAAGCTGGGAGGGGGCACAGCCAGGACAGCTGACCCC